TTCCAACCTCCCTGCCATGGGGAGACACCTTCCAGTGGAGCAGTTTGCTCAGGGCCCCATCTTAACCTGGCGTTGAGCATTCCTAGGAATGGGGCATCCATGCTTCTGTGGGCAATGTGTTCCAGTGCCTCAAGTTTTATTATGAAAGGTTCCTTTTATGATCACCCTTGGTGAAGTGATCAGGAAGATTTGATGGGCTACGGATCACAGTAGAGAAGTGCCTTTTGGGTGGGAAGATAAATTTTATTGTGGATTAAAAGGAAATATCCCCTTCAATGTAAGTGAGGATAAATACCCCTCTTTGCCATTTGTTGTGACAGAAGGAGAAGTGCCTGGTAGTGCTGTATTAGTTTTCGACATCGAACTGCTGGAATTGGTGTCTGGCTTACCTGAAGGATACATGTTTGTATGGAATGGGGAAGTCTCTCCCAACCTTTTTGAAGAAATAGACCAGAATCATGATGGAGAGGTTCTTTTGGAGGAGGTAAGCTGAGATGATGTAAACACCTGCAGTGGTTTTCTTTTATCACTATCAATGCCAGTGTTGAAGGATGGAGTCTTTCCTCATTTTCTTCCCTTCTTCTTCTGGAATTGTGTTTGTCATCAAGGGAACAGGAAGGCAGGGTGTCAGCTAAAACATGGCTATTCAGCTTTAGAGTTAAAGCAAAAAGGACTGTGGCCATACTGAATGGCCATACTGCATAAAATCATATTCTGTTGTGGTTTCCTTGGTCAACAACAAATCCTTAGGACATAAGTGTAAGAGGCAGAGTTGGTATCCAACATTCCTTTGCTGTATCAGCCTTGATCCTGTCTCAGTGTTAATTGGCAATTTGTGGTGAATTCTTGAGCCAAAGCTGAGCCTGCAGCAATGCATCCAGGAACTGTCTTATCTCTTCTGGAGCCTGGCAATGCCAGAGGCCACTCCTTACACATGTGAGTTGTGTGCTGTGCAGGCCAGTTCTTCTCCTTGCTTGCTTTTAAAATCTGCATTGTGAGGATGTCATTGCGTGCCCCAGTTGAAAGCCACTTGCTTTTGCCATACCACCTCTGATAACATAAACCTCTGTGAGATGTTCCTCTGCCTTTTCTTTTGACTCAAATTCTATTTTTTATTCTCTTCCGAAGTCTTCTTTGTCACCTTTCTCCTTCTGTTTTGTCTTTTCCTCTTTGTCCCTTCTTTACTCCCTAGAATGGTGGTGCCTGCAGTGCTCACAGGGCAGGCTGTGGCCCTGTGGAACAGCATGAAATGCCTTTGAGGATTTAAAAACCTAATATGGTAAAATTGAATTATTGTTTTCCCTTTTGCTAGCACTCTCTTACACCTCTTTGTTTTCCATCTCCATCTTCTCTCTTATGCTTACCTTCACATATGTCCTTGCAGAGAAGAAAAAAGCTTTTACTGGTTTAGAGAAAGAGGTAGGATGAGGCTGTTGCTGTCCACATGAGCAATCATCCTTGTGTGTTGCTCCCTCTAAGATACAGGTGGGTTTCTGTTTTACAGTGTCAGCTTCATGTGTCGCCATGCAGAATTACTGCCCTCCATCTGTGTAGAGCTGTTACTATGCCCAGCTGTCCAACCCATCTTCCTCCTAAATTATGAATAAACTTTTCTTGTTATGGGTCCAAATCCCACTGGAATGAGTGAGGAAATCCCTGCTGAGCTCCACAAAGGGTGATTTAACCTCATGTGTCTGTTATAATTAGTCCAGTTTGGTGGTAAACTTTATAGGGTAGTAACAGTGTCCTATGAACACCAAATAAGTAGTGAAATGCTGGATGCTCTTCATTTTCAAATGTCCTTTTCACTGTGAGCTATTTTCTTCTCCTTTCCCCCCTCTTAGTTTTCAGAGTACATCCAAACTCAAGTTGATACTGGCAAGGGAAAATTAGCTCCTGGCTTTGATTTTGACAAGATTGTTAAAAATATGTTCACCAATCAAGACCGGGATGGAAATGGTAAAGTTACTGCTGAAGAATTCAAGTTGAAAGATCAGGAGGCCAAAGAGGAGCACGATGAACTGTAAAGATAAGGAAAAAACCAAGAATCCTGAGCTGACCTACTGTTCAAACATGTGTACCAGAAGGAGTTTCGGCAAGCATGGTTTGGAAGGATTGCCCTCGGATAGCCTGTGTCTGCCTCTGCCTGGGTGTGGGTAGGCTGTTAAAATAGGAACAGATTTTCAGTTGGAATTGTTAGGTATATCTGAAAAAAGTGTTAACTGCCTCAAGGTGGGATGTATAGACAGGTAAGGAGTGTCCTGCTGTGTGTGGTGCCGTGAACCACATGTGTGTGTGGGGTCTGCTTTTATGCTGAAGATCCAAAGTTCTCATTGAACAATTCACGGTCAGTTGGGTGGATGGTAGAGAGAAAACCTACCAAGTGCTTTTAAAAGAGTTTTAAAAAACCTTCTGTATCAGAAATATTTGTGTAGGAAAATGAACCAAAATATTCCCTGTAACAATAACCTGTAAAAGTTGTCAGCTGTTGATCCCAGTTCCTTTCAGAAGGCATGAGCACTCTTCCCAGTAACTGAACCAAACTCACATGGATTTTTGCCAGCACAAAATCTGATTTGCAAATTGCAGAAACATGGCTGTGCCATTGGAAAATTTACATAAGCTGTGACTTAAATTAAAGAGAACTAGAATTAATACTGTGTATGTGTTGGGTTTTTACCTCACGGAATAAAAGCTTCCTACCATCTGTACTGTGCTGAATTAGTAACCTTGACTCTTGCTGGCCAGTGTTTCCATCAGTCATTCCAAAACCTTTCTAGTCACAACATTATTTATAGTTTTGTTAGACATTAAATATTAACATATAGGGCCCAAATGCTGTCATAAATACTGGACACTGTTGGTTTTGTGTTGGGCTTCTGTCTCCTATTTTGGGAATGGATAGATTAAGGAGCAAGTACTTAAGAGTTAAGCAGCAGAGGAGTCTGCTGTAGCAAACACACAGACAGACAGTGATAGAATCAAGAAACAGCCCCATCTGTTTGTGTGTGCTAACGCTCTGGCCCAGCCCTCAACACAAAGTCATCTTTGGGAGTGCTGCTCAGATTCTGTGACTTGAGGCAGTCACCCGTTACCTCGCCAAATGCAGCAGAGCTGCTCCCTACCAAATACGCAGAACAGTCCCATTTTCTGGAAGGCCGTGGGATCCCCTCAGTACACAGCATGCAAAGAGCACAAACACATAGAGTGAGACACTGTCAGGGAGGAGTGGGCAGGGAGTTGTATTTCCATTATAAGCTTTGTGTCTAGTTTCTTGCTTTCCTTGATCTGTACATGTGGGATGTAAGCTCCCTGAGATGCTCTTTCTAAAAATTGGTATTTCAGTTGGATGAGAACATTCTGTATTGGTTTTTAATGCAGTTCTTACAAAAAGTGCAGTGAAATATTTTTTTGAGTTTGATACCATTAAATGTTGGATAACTGATCTTTTTGTTAAATAAAATATTGATCAACTATTACTTTTAAAGTTTCTTTTCTTTTTCTGGAGTTTTGGTGGGTTGGGACGATGAGTTGAAGAAAATGCCCTTCCTGCAGCTCTCTTCTCTTGTACACAGCAGGCTTACCCTGAATATGTTTAATACTGCTGTTAATGTTCAGAAAAAAATATTTAAAATTATGATTAATGGATGATTTTGTACCAGATGTAGAAGTTGTGGCTATCAGGGACAGGCACTTCAATTCCAAAGTTTGGGTCCAGAATGGCTGCTTACCATCTTGTGAAAGCAGCTCTCTCAGCAGACTGTTTTTCCCTTTTGCTTTACTTGGAAGCAGGCTGCTCACTTTTTGCTGTGGTTCAGATGCAGTCCCTTCTGTGTGCTGACAAAGCTGAGAGAAGGAGTGGGAAGCAAGTTGTGATTGGAGTACTGCCAGAAGCAGAACTCAATGTGGAAACAGCTCCTTACTCTGTTCTTGTATGGACCCCCAAAAAACAAAAAATGTCTTGTGGATATCCCCCCCCTCCTTTTGAGGGGATGGAACTCTATGGTTTTTAAGGTCCCTTACAACCCAAACCATTCCATGGTATCCTAAATAAATGTTTTGTCTGAGAAAACCTTAGTGAATGAGCGCAATGTTTCTGCATGGAGGACCATTCCAGATGGATCCCAGGAGATGGGCTGAAGAGTTCCTAGTAAACCAGGATAACAGACTTGTCCTCCAGGGCAGATGCAGGAGAAGGAGCAGCACTGAACTGCTATCAATTGGTGATCCCAAAAATTGTTTTTTTTGGAAGTGCTTGTCAGTGATGGGATAGCAGGGATGACTTTGCCAGTGCCTCTGGCAAGGGTAAGTACATCTGAAATTCTTATGCCATTGCTCCTTAGGATTTGGCAAACAGGGCTCACGATCCAGCTAAAGATGTTTTTCCTTCAAGAGGAAGTTTTTGTTGTCTCGTCACCTCATCCCTCCAAGCCTGCAGGTTGCCATTTTAGAAATAAGAATGCAGCTTTGGGGAAAATCAGAGAATATATGGAAAAACTTGCTATAAAATAATGGTATTTATATGGGGCGTTGCCCAGACAAACCCAAAAGAGGCCAGGTCTGCCTGGCTGTTTTAGGCTAAACTGCTTAAAATCTAGAATTTTCTGATCATTAACATAGACCCAGTCCTTTTCCTTTCTTTTGGCAGCTATTGGCTTCTCCCTTGAAGGAAGGCTTGGGGCCACCTTACTCTATGTCAAAGTGCAAAATATATATTTTTTTTAAGGAGAAACTAGCTATTTAGAACTAATCTAGCTATCTATTTACAATTCATCTATTTATTAGAATTTTATTGCTAGGAATTTATCTATTAGTATCTACTATCTCCTAGTATTTAGAATTTACCTATTTAGAATGATCTATAGAATCTCTCTGTTTTGGATTTATTTATTTATAGAATTAGTATCTAGGTAGTTTTTTACCATACTTAACTGAGATTACTTTATAAAAATAGATGATAGCTCTCAAGGGTCATTAAGAGCCAGATGTAACTGGGCTCAGCTAACGAGGGGCTCTCCAGAACTCAGGCTGTTTCTACTCCTCTAATGAAACAGGCAGCTGCTATTCTCAGAGCTGGCAGCTGACTGCTGTTAGGAAAGAAGTTGCTGGCAGCCAAGGTTGGCAATTGGTGACTGAATTGTCAGGGACTCAGTGGAAAAGAAAAGCAACAGGGGTGCACACCCAGAAAACCCCAGGTATTTATGAATATATTTTTCTGTGTGATTTTTGTGTCCTAATTTGATAGCAATGCTTTATTCTGTGTGACTCCATCTGGTGCAAGTATAACAGACGTTATACTTAAATCAGAATTTGCAGTTGTTGGACTTCAATATTATGTTTTTCTTTGTGGAAAAAATATTTGGATTTTTCTTAAAACTTGAAAATGACACATTTAGCTAGTACAGGGTGCAAGTTTTTAGCTTAGTTCAGCTCAATCAGTATTTGCTTGATAGTGGGAGAACATTTGAGCTGGCTGCAACACCCGCTAAGAGGAGGATTCATTTTCAGCTAAATAAAGGTCCCAGATACTTGACCTTGGACATGTACTACAGACAGAACAGATATTGTGAGTAGAGGAAGAAAAAAGAGTAACAAATCAACTTATTTTTGTTTATTCTTTTATTTTAACTTTAAATATACTCTTTTGGCTATGGGAAAATGGTCTGGGAAATGCATATCTTTCTTTCCAAACTAAATCATAAATTAAATACATTTTTAGGGTTGCAAAATGTTTCTGGTTAGAAATTTTATTTGGAAAGTCATACTACTCACAGTATTTCTTTCTTAAAACTGAAAGAAAAATCTCAATAGCAATTGCAAGAATTGGACTGGCTGGAGAAGGATGGCTTAACCTGTAGGTGTAGAGTTAATTTTGTTTGCAGTTAATTTTGGTCATGGTTTTGGAGAGGTAACTGGTAATACAAATTCTAATTTCTGTACAACAGTCTAGTGATAAAACAATGGGATTTTGATAAAGTGGAGGAGCATATTTTAAAATGCATCTTGTGTTTTCCCTTAATGTAATACTAAGCAAGAGTTATGGTTGGCAGTGGGATGTGAGATGATGAACAGACAATGATAATCTGTACAACACAAAGCAGCTTTTTAAAATCTGACCTCCTGGTTCAGGTTGATTGCATAAATGACTGTTTTTGCTATAAAGTTGTATGAATGGCATTTCAAGAAGTAAATTACTTGGCACGGAGATACCCCTTGTACAGCAAGTGGGTGCTATTGAGGAACTGCAATGTGGCTGAACTGCTTTCAAGTCCTAGCAAAGGTTTACTGCTCTAGCAGATCCTTAAAACAGGTTCTGAGACTAACAGGATTTAATGATAGGAGAAAAGTGTGCTGGAGATCTTAACTTACCTGCATCTTTGTGGAAGGGCAAGAATAATTTCAGTGATTGTCATTATGGACTGAACATTTGGCGACTGAACATTCATTGTCCACCTGCTTGGAGGTGAGGTTGAAAAATCTTTCTTGCATAATGCTTCAAAGATGGTGGTCATCTAAAATCCTCTACCAGTTTTAGGTGTCCATGTAGTTGGAAAACCATCTCATTTCCTTCTGATATGGGTGGGTTCTAGGGAGACTGAATACAAATTTCAGTAGTTACTAAATTCAGTAATTCAGATTAAGATGTAGTTGGAGATCTGTTTTAGTAACTGCTTTTAAAGATGCTTCCTAGTCCTTTTCTATATTACTCTGCCTATGCTCTTCTATGTGGTTTTATTTGTTTGTTGGGGTTGTGGGCTGATCAAGATCTTCATCATGCTGAAGGCGTGGTGGCTTGCTCACCTGCTGAGTGAGGCTGAGGAAAAATTCTGGAAAGAGGATCAGTGAGTTTATGTGTATCCTGAGGCAAGTTTGATGAAAACACTCTTCCCCTCTTGGCAACACCACAGAGAGAGAGCAGACCTGCCCCCCTCCTTTTCACCAGTGCTGGGATAATCAGGGAAATCCATTACACCTGTAGTCAGAGTGCCAGTGTTGCTGACGCATCTCGTGCTGTGAAGCTGTGACTATCAGCTACACTTCACATTCTCTAAATTTTAGCTGTTATCTGTATTCCAAAGATAAACTGCCTGTAAATGTAAAACTTTGTCCCAGTGTAAACTTTGGTAGTAATGCCTGGTAATTAGACTCTTGCAACTAGAAGCTGGTTGAGTAAGCAGTGCATCCAAACACCTTGATGTTTTTCAGAAGGCCTTTGCCTTTTGGACTTTTATTTGGCAGCTATGACAAAAGAGCCAGCATGATTGCCTGTTTCAAAAAGCTCTAAACCCAAGATTCACTAACCCTACTCCCCTCCTCCCAAAACCGTAACATTAGCCCAGTCAACCTAAGTTCTGCAGGTGCCTACAACCCCAAATGTAAGCTGTTAAAGAAACTGTGTCTGCAGAGCTCCCCTGGAAATGCAGCAGCATTCCCCAAATCCTTGCTGTGCCCGGGTGGTGCAGACCAAGCCACTGGGTGGGCAGCCCATGCGATGCCTGTGAGGAGTAGGATAGCCCTGCTTGTCCTGCCCATGCTGCTGGAGCTGCAGTGCAGGCACAAGGGAAGCTGTAGGGAGGCTGCTCCCTCTCTCTGTTTTGCCATGACCATCCTGCCCTCCTTCCTGCCCCAAGAAAATGGAGGAGACAGGGAGAGAGGCCACAGGGACTGGGCCAAACTTCACACCCAGTCCCAGTGACTGCTGACTCAGCAGGTGTCACTGCTGCCTTCAAGCTCTCTCCATCTTTTGGCTTTGTCTGACAGGCTCTTAGCAGCTGTTGCTCCCATCTCCTGTCCCCGTCACTGCCAGGGTCCCTTCAGCTCTTCCAGTTTGCTGCTGCTGCCTGAGTCACACCTCTGGAATGGAAGGCAGCCAAGGCACTATCCTCATCTTGATTGTCTTACTGGTTTTGTTCTCAAAGGTCCCACCTCTGGCCTCCTGGCTGCCCCTGTCTCAGGCCTAGGGAATTGCATGACTGTAGGTTTTGTACAAGGAAGACATCATCCCTCAAACACTCTGTTCAGATGCAGGATGGAATTTCTTAAAGGTCCCTGTGCTCAGCAGTTCCCAGATGGCACGGCATGTGCTGTGAGATTTGTGAAAGGATGCTCACACTACCTCAGAATTTGTACTGAGCCTCTACCCTGCATTCGAAGTACAGGGATGATTAATTTCATTTTATTGCAGAGGATGCCGAGGTGGGGTATGGAACTATCCTCTCTCTTCCCTTGGAAAAGTTCTGGCAGCAGTAGTAACAGATGTAAAGCTGCTGATTTGGAAAAAAAATGTGTCTGGTGATACCAAGTCAGAATTTCAATAACAGATCAGAGGCTGTAAGGAAAGAGGCCATTTCTTGATATGTGTTTTAATTCTGGTGGAAAAGAATGCAGATCTAAAATCTCCCACATTTTCATTACAGTTCCTCAGGGAACGGAAGGTGGCACAGTTTCTGCTCTGTATAAAAGAAAGCAAAGGGGAACAATGATTATATTGCACATTAGGGGAGTTGCATGATTTGCTCTCTTTTATTAATGAACAGATTTAGTACAGCCCAGACCTCACAGGAGCAGGGTCACAACATCATCTTTAACTCATGCTACAACATATCTGAGCAAGCTTCTGAAATTGTGGCTGTATTAAGCTGTACTCTGTACACAATGCTGAGAGGTGCTGTAATGTGCTCAGTACAGGGGAAAAGCTTTCAAAAGATTTTTTTGTGGTGAGGGTGGTGAAAATGGCACAGGTCACCCAGCATGGTGGAAGATGCCCCATCCCTGGAAACATCCAAGGTCAGGTTGGATGGGACTGTGAGCAGCCTGGTCATTGCAGGGCAGGCTGTGGATTATCAGCTTGTGAAACTATCTGTTGTTACAAAGATGAGAAAATTTATCTCAGACACACTAACTTAAAACATTCTTCCCATTTCACAGAGGATGAAGAAACAGTATGGATAGAGAATGAAAAAGAAACACTTTGCCTGAATTGGGTGAATAAAAGCATTTTTACTGATGAAAAATATATGTATGAAAAACTAGTGTGAAATTATGTAGCATATGAGTAAGATCCTTCAAAGTACAGCTGAGACTGAAATGTCTTTGAAAAGGCAACAAATGCACACTCTCTTTACAGAGTATTTACACCTTCAATTGTACAAAATAGCCACGTTTTCTAAAATGCTGCTCCGAAAGGCCTGATTAAAAAGGACAGTGAACCACAGTATCCCATCAGCAGCAGTTTATCACATCTATAAATCCAATTTAGATCTCGTTATAACAGGAGTGTGAGACAATAAAGAACAGTGAAATTGCAGTAAAAGGAGCTTGTAGTTGGTAATTGATACAATATATATTCCATAATACCAAAATGAAGATAAAAGTTTTAAATTAAATCAAACAGTTCTGTAAATTAATAATAAACACATCTAAGATAGCACATGTGTGCTCTTCTGTCCAGTTGCCTCCTGGAAGGAATGGAGTGACTTGAGACTGCAATTTACAGGATTTTCTGTAGAATGGAGTTGGCAACTTCCAGGGATTCATCTTTCACCAAGACAATATCATAAGAGTCCATGTATTTTTCCAAAAGCTCATCTACCTAATTGCAGAAGGGATAAAGAGAAAGACCCCCTTAGTTACAGAATTAATTATTGAAAGTGTTTTTGTCACTAAAATATTGCCCAAGCTTTCCACCAAATTCTGGGAATGAGCCATGCACATAATGTATCACTCCTACAAGTGAATTCCACAGGAGGACAGAGTAGGAGTGGCCTGACCTAAAGTGCCTTCCAGGACATAATACCTCATGTTTATTCCAGGATCTCACACATAGAGATACTGAAAGAAGAACTAGCTCTGGAAGGGCAGGGAGAAATATAAAAATGAAGTTTTCTCTCTCGTCAGTGCAAATGGATGTTCATTATAATGAACATTAGCAAATAATCAGTTGAGTGTCACTTAAAAACCCCAAGAAGTAAAGAGAAAAGAGGAAAGATTGCCTGGATTTGTTATTTGCAAGATTATAATTTTTCTCAGTACTGAGAAAATTCAGTACTGAATTTTCAGTTTGTTATTTGCAAGATTATAATTTTTCTCAATTATCAATTCAGTACTGAAAGGAGGAGGAGCCACAGGAATTTAAGAGAATTAATTTTTATAGCCTCTGAATTTTACATATCTAGGAAGCACCTACTTGGAAGTAGTTCTGTACAAAAACCAGGGCAATATATACCTGTGGCTCTGAGCTTATAGGTTAGAAAAAAATCCATGAAAAAATGTTTGAAATGTCAACCCAAGTATAGGCTAAACACTCTGTTTGATATCTGAACCACGTTATAATGAACCTGTTTCTAACTCCCAGTGCTTCATTCAAAGCTTACAAGGTTATGTAAGGCTACTTACTTTATCATTGAGATAGCCAATCTTAAGAATGTGCTCAACATTTGCTACTCCATCTGCCATACTCAAGTCTCCTTGAGAATCACCCAGCAGTATGATATTGCTGTTGTCTTTTAGCTGTTTGAAGTACTCTGTGTTCTTCAAGGCACCATCATGTTTGTTGTAAACATGAATCAATTCTCCTTTAAATCCTTTTAATATTCCCTATTGAAAAAAGCAACACTGAAGTTATTTCTGGTACCATTCAGGCAGGACAGAATGTAGAATGAAAGAGGTGATGTTACTGTTGAGCCAAGACTGAACTACGTAACCTGTGATGATGAACAAGATAAATTAATAATGTCATGGCTGTGACAGCACAGTTAAGAGCAGGCAGACAGTGATTCTCTGCTTGGAGGAGTGTATATACCTATCTCTATATATATATTTATATATGTCTGTCTTGTAGTGTGCATAAATACATAGTAAATACCACTAACAGTGTGGTATTTTTCAAACATGTTTGATAAGAATGTGTTATCTCATACATACATTTTCATCAAAATCCATGAAGTTGGAAACCACTTTGACGTTAGAATGGTAGACCCCAGCCTGGTGGATTACTTCCTCAAGAATGTCACCAATCCCAGCAGAAAATATGAACACAGGAATATTATGTTCACTGAGCTTATCAAAGAAGTTCTCATACCCTTCTCTGCAACACAGAATGCAAATACAAATCAAATCTCAAATAAAGAAAGCTAAGAAAAGTCCCAGCTTGTAGGAGAAAATCACATTGTCTTTGGAAATGAATTAATATTTCCTGAGCACTTTACTGCATTTCTTTTACCTCACCTTTTCAGGTCAGCAAGAACCACCAACCTAATACAAGGCATGTTTGCAAGAAACTTCTGCATCAAACTGTTTAGTATTGGTCTGTATAATTTCTGCCCTCAAAACATCTATCATGTTTTAAAGATTTAAAAACACTTCCCCCTCCCTAGGTACTCCAGAACAAGCAATTAGAGCTCACTCTAGCTATTATCAAGCTGTACATCTCTTTTCAATCTTCCTTGCTTAAATATGTGGCTTTCTATAGGGTCATTACCATAAAACAAATTTTGTTTTTAAATCTTGAAAACATTTATTGTTGCTCTCTCCCAAAAGTTTTTTAGTATTCAGTACCCCATGTATAGCATTCCAGGAACAAGACAATATCATGTCTATATGCTTTCTCCAAACAGACACAGACTGGTAGAATTTTACATTTTAAAAAAGTATTGTGAATGTTCTGGCAAGAATTTTAGCTTGTGGATGAAGATTCAAACAACAGGGACTTAGGCTTTCAAACAGGCAGAGACTGGGTGCTTGTATGTTGTCCAGAAAATAAGGATTCAGTGAATGTTATAAACAAATACTTCCGCAATTTAAGTTCTAACATCCTGTTTCAGTATTCCAAAAGTTACAGACAGTTCTAGACTGCTTTCAAAGAGATGGAAGCCACAGCACATTTTGAACAAGGATTTTGCTGTCTTTTAAACTTGCCTTCAGCCATAGAGGGAGAGCAATATTTAATACAACCTATGAAACATGTTTATGAAGTGTTTCTCAAAGGTATTAAGTTACATTTCACATTGCTCTTAAAAAAATGATCACCAGTGCAATTTAAAGAGTATTTCAAAGTCTACAAAAATTAAGGTTGTAGAGAAGGGACTAAAACAAGTTCCAAATCTCTGCTTTATACAGTGAGATTATTGTCTGCATTTAGGTACAACACACCAATTAAATGGGAGCATGGAGAGCTCAATGTAGTCCAAGGTTAAGGTGTCACATTCTCATGCACATGTGTGGATTTTTTAATTTCCCTTTTCTTTTTTTTTTCCTCCCCCAACACTCAGGAAAAATCTACAGAAAATGCTCTGAAACAGGTATAATTCAAATCAAAAGGAACTTACTTCAGCATAACATCAGATTCCCTTACAATTTCTGCAAACTTGTCCTTCTGTAAGCCTTGTTCAATGAGCAGTGCATGAGATTTATGGTACCTAGAACATAAACAAAAAAATGGGTTGAATGTTGCTTATAAAGGATCAACTTTCACTAAATTTCATGATGAAAAGCATCCTCTATGGTTAATTCTTGCTTATTCAGATTAAGAGCAAAACAAAACCAGTTGTACAAAATTTTAAGAGATCAATTCAGTTAATATGATAACTTAAAGCTAAGTACTGCCATTAATTTCCTTTTAAAAACTTACTATATCTAATATTAATACAATGTGAAAATAGGAGGTGTCTCTTACCATTCTACCATATATGGGTATTTCTCTTCAATGGTGAGAGCTGGATCAATTTCAATGGCATAGTAAGTTTCTTTCAGCTGCAACAACTAAAGGGAAAAAAATCCCCATCAGATGTTTAATATAATTATAATTATAAAATACATTGGTGTTTGGTCTAAGCAATCAAAATAACACTCTTGTCAGGGAATAATGACAGATGTCTGTAAAACAAACCAAATGCTTGTAGGTTTTTCGTTTACCTTTTTCCGACATTCATCTGTGATGATCTTAGAGTTATCAATGATGTCTGGGAAAGGGGTGAAAAAAAGACAGTTAAACAAGATGATACATTTCTTTTACTTTGCTCTACAACATTGTAAATGGCACAGATGACAATGTCTGGTGACATACCAATATGCTTCCTCAGAACTTTTCTTACCAGTAACCAGCAAAAAGCACATTTTTCTTCATAAGTATAAAGATGCCCTTCCCTTCATCTCTGATTTACAAGGTCAGTTACAAGCTTTTGTATCTGTTTCTTGAGATTTAATTGTTTTTGAAATCATCCTGAGGTATCCTATATGTTTTAGAGTTCCCACTTCTCCTTGTTTGTTCCAAAAGACTATAGCATAAGGATAAAATTGCCAAGAATTCTAAGGAGTTTACAATCTGGTTCTTGCAGGTGTCAGGACTATGATGGGTTCTTGAAAAACAAAAGTCAACCATACCATATTTAGCCACTAACATCTGAGAATTCAAAACTTAATGTTTTAATGATGAATGGCAACTTATCTGATTTAATTCTCACAGATTTTGATTAATATATATATACACATAAAAACCACAGTCACTAGAATACTCTGTCAGTAGAATGTACAGATTAGGTAACATGTCAATATAAAATTTCATTTGGAAATAAATTGAATAGAAAATTAAAATATAGGAAAAACTAAAAGGAGCAAACAAATTAATCTGTATTAAAAAAAAAAAGTACTCACTATGACAAGTTGGACATCTTTTTCCATTGTAGGAAAATCTACTTAATGTCATATCAAAATCTGTAATAATCTATTTAAGGAAAGAAAAAGCAAAACTGTCTTACAACATGGAGGAACAAAATAAAGAATGGCTAGAAATTCTGAACTATCAACAATAGCTGCAGCTGAGTAGCATGTGTGTCACAGAAGCCTCCCTATTCTATTGAGCCATTGTCATGGAAGCTAGCATATCCCAGAAGAGTAACGTTTTTTCTAACAAAACTATTTTTCTTATTCCTTTGCTGAGAATATTTTCTGAAATTACTAAGCTGCTACGCTTAAAGTCATTTACTTAACCAGTGTCTGGCTGAATTACAGTTGAATCAATAAAGACTATTAAGAGTTAACATGTCTTAAGTTCTGGAGATTTCTTGAAGGTTGAATTCTATTACATATATATAGATATGCTTAATTTTTTTGGCATAGAGTAACAATCCCACAGTTGTTTTTATTCTAAACTCTTTGCATCTTTACCTGAAGTTTGGCAGCTCCACCTTTGATGAGGCCACAAATAATCTCCTCTACTCTTGCTGGGTCCTTAATATGGACAGTCTTCTTCTGAAATTCTGGCATCTATGAAGAGTAAGAACAAAGACATAAATACACTTGCAGAGGAAAACCTCCTAGGCAATAGCTGCTGTCCATCAGGTTGGAAGATCTGCATCTACAGTTTCATGTGACATCAAGACATGGTCAGGACAGAAAGACAAGAGTAAGAAGAAGCAGAAAATACTCTGGATGTATTAATCAATGACTGCATACTGTTCTGTTTGCTTACAACATCTGTTTTCATTGCCTTTCCTGGTATCACTTTATTCAATAAGATGACACTCAGAAAAGGTCATTGTATTTGTAGGAAAAAAAGGAGATATGTAGGAACAGGACATATGGGATCATCTTGTGATTGAGATATGTCACTAGGAGATGATAAATCTTAAAACTAACCCTCTTTGCAATTAATATGCCCTTAAAGTATCAACAGAGATAAAGAAGACATCTATTGCTTCCTTGAGAATACTGAATGAGTATCAACTGAGTACTTCAATACAACAAGGCTGTGCAGTAATCCCTCCCCCCTAGCCAGTCCATCAATTGCTGTCACTACCTATTTCATGGCACACTTTTGAAATAACATAATATCACACTATATACTCCTTTTGGATGAAGTATATTTCTTGAATGTTATGATAAATGAAGAATTTGGTGTAAAACAAAAAAAACAACCCTCAAACCCACAAAACCCCATTCTTCCCCAAACAATTCCCCAAGCCTCTGTTTACTCTACGAGTTTATCCTCAAACTTGCAGAATGGTAGAAGAACTATTTATTTACAGGAACTTCCCAATGTAGCATGTATTTGTTTCCTTTATAATCATGTATGGACCCATTCTAAAAAAAAGACATCAGACATTTGCAATTTGTCTAAACAGGCCTTTATATAGCAAGCTTTATTTTTTGTTTATAAAACTTCAGAGATTATAAAATGTTAGGAATTACATTTTTAACAATCTGATCCTTCAACCTTCCTTTTCTTGTAGCTAGCATGTAATCTGTGCTGCAATGAGCTAATGAAAAAAAAAAAGGTGGGGGGGAAATTCTATTTCTGGACCCAGAGTTCTTGTATCACCAACTGTCAGTAAGCCATGCAGAACTCTTTGTTCCAGCTCTTGATGCTAGTAAGTCTTTTATTCATTAGCAACAGCCAACTTGAAGTCAAATTGCAATTTGGTTATCACGTAAAAACAGGTGCCATTTTAAGGTATGCAAACATGTTTTTGTAAGGGAAATGACACTTGTGTGCCAGACACAAGAAGGATCCAGACATACCTTGAAATTTCAGCTCTAGTCCACTCTGTTCTCAGGTGGGAGTAAAACATTGCAGCTACATCCCTATCAGATGAGCAGAAGCTCATCTAACTCTTTGTTCAAAACCCCCACTCACATATTCCTCAACTACCCGTACGTTTAGAAAAGTTTGCTTAATGTCTAATCTTCCTTACTGTAATTTCAAGTCATTAATCTTGGAGAGAAGTGTTCTTTTTCTCAGACACTCACTGGATAAATTTTTCCCTTCTGCCTGAATGTAAAACCCCAGTGTTCTTCAATCTTCTTTTGCAGAACACAATTTTCTAAATCTCTGATAATTCTTGATGTTGTCTTGGCCCACCCAATTGAACCACATTGTTTTTCCAACACAGCATCCATGACTGTGGGTAAAACTTTTCTGCTCTGCTCTGACGCAGCCTTGGCTTAAGGGCCCCTTTGGCCCTTGTCTTCAGGTAGCATCTTTGCATGGACATTAAAATGCATGCTCTGTGTTAGCAGTACTATGGTGAGAATGACTCAAATTCAGTTGGTAATGACCAAATATTCTTCAAAATGACTCCTAGAAAGAAACAGGTATTTGTGCAAAGTGTTACATTTTATATTTAATATTCCTGGATTGTATCTTTTCTTCCATGTCAATGCTCCTATCTTTCAGTAAAACAAATAATTCTAAATCCCCACTGTGCTTACTGCTACTTTCTGGCTGGTATCCTCAAAGGAACTGCTGAGAACTGAAAACAGAAATCCTTCTAGAACTCTAATCATGAGTCTCTGATAAATTTCCAAGTTTTTTACCCATTCAAAAAAGTTTCACCTATACCACAGTATCTTGTCAAAAATTCTATCCTGAACATGGTATTCACTACTTCTTTGCTTTATAAATCTCATAAAGAAACAAACTCTATTAATTTCACTTTGATTGGAAGAATCTGATCCTTTGGCAGACTTTTTCTGTAAAAGTGGTATCTCCTAAGCCAATATCCCTAAGTTCCTTGTGTTGTTGCAGTGTCTTGCCACTACTTCTTTTAGCACAGCAAAGCCACAAAAAGTACATCAGAGTTGACTTCCAGCTCTCAGCTACTTCTCAGGCTGGGAGTCATTGAGAAACCTAAGGAGTGTTGACAAGAAATAGAACTCCTGAATAATATCCACTAAAGAATTCACTAATCTTTAGAGATATACCTTTAACAAAGCATTTATTTATTCACAATTAGCAGCACATCTAGCTTCACAAAACAAAATATCAATAATCTGTAACTCTTTAAAAGTGCTTTATGGTATTTCTTTTGTATATGTGCTGGTAAACAAAAGTAAGCTTTCTACTTTTTTCTGCATATACAATATTCTTTATAATGACGCACAAAGCACTTCGACTTGGTAATTTTTGTACTGCAAATTGACTAATCTAATTCCTTTAACTTTCAGCAAATTATATATGTATTTTTAGATTTGGAGTGCAAAAATCAAACAGTGAAGTCTAAATGCATGCTTTTTAAAGAAGTAGTTAAGCATTATTTGGTTTACTTAGATACTAAGCAACAGATTTCCTAATAGAATTAATTTAAACAGATGTTGGGGTAGATGGAGAGATCAGAGGAAGAGACTGGATGAGGACAATTGGATTGTTTGGTACTGTTTCATTTCAGACTGAGCCCTTTTGTAAGTTTTTGAAACAACCTGAGGAAAATTCTTGGTAAACACTTTTGTAGATCATGTTAAACAAGAAATTACTTAAGATTTTAAGTATGATGAAAGCTTCCTGCTTTGATGTTGTAAACTCATACTCAAGATCAGTTTATAAAACTGATTTATTTCTAACACACTCTTCATTTTTGCACACAAATTAGTTGAAGAGTATTTTAATTTAGGGGTGAGAGAAAGTCTTCTGCAGCAAGTATAACCCAGACATTTTCAGTCTCACAGGCACTCTCAGAGGAAAAAACAAGTCTACATTACAGGCATGACATCTGATAAAGCCTCAGACAAATATGGATAGACAAAATAGCCACTTTTCCTATCACTAGTTCCTTGTATTAATATTTGCAACCGAACATTAAGTAGCAATTCTTTTATTTATTCTTTATCATTATCATAGTAGAAGTAAATGAAACTGTCTAAGGACTGGGTAAATGAAACTCAAACTGCAGCCACCAATTTTCTAGCAAACTGTCTCTTCCAATGTTTTACACTTCTGCCCAGTTTAGCTGTTGTTTCGTTGTTGCATATTTGCCATTCTTCACAGTTAAAGAGAAAAGCAGATTCTAGTTGGAAAGAACTGCTCAGATGAAAGAGCAAAGGGAGAAAAGTTCGGTCAATTTGATAAAATTTGTGTTTCTATTTACTGTTTAAGAAAATTCTAGCAGTCAACTCAGTGTGCACATAAACCTCCCAAAATTCTGATGCACCAGTTGACTGGGATAAGCACAGATAGAGAAGCAGCCAACTAAAAATCTCCACAGCACTTAATCAAGCCAAGAAAGCTTTTCAGAACCAGAAGCTTCTACATACAGAACTAAATTACATAAGCACAGGAAAAGGAATTAAAAATTCATTGTGACATCTGAAAGTACATAATGTTAAATCACTTAAGTGCCCCTATTTATTCTGTCATATTATAAAAGTGTGAGAAGAGTTTTGCTTTCTTACCAAGAGCATTTATATGCTACTGAATAGCTCAGAGGCTGGTGTGTCTTAAAACATGTGTATGACAACTCCCAAAGGTAATTTGTGGTTGGCATATACACTGGCCACAAATACATTTTAGTTTTCAGTCTCTGATATTTTTTAGGAGCCTTTGAGAGAAGGAAGAACAAAACTGAAAAATATTATTTTAAAGGATGAGCTTAGTTGGATTTATGAAAAATAAAACAATTATCTGCTTATTTGTGATAGCAGGTAACTGGAATAAGGATGTAGGAAATTATTTTGTAGCTAAGAATGTTATGGTCATACCTTGAGGAATGAACAGTAATGGATTCACGCAGGTTTGGAAATCCCCCAGTCCTACAAACCACAGAATGGGTCATTTACAACAAGGACAGTTCTGAAAATTACAAATCTATTTAGTACATGAGACATGCATCTGGGTAGCTGGGTTAAATAAAGAGAAGTATTTGCCAAAAGACAAATATTCAATTCTAGTTTTGAAATTAAGTTTCTTATATACAACTGGATAACAGAAGTGCAAAATAACTGCTTTTATTATCCAGGTGCTGCTTAGTACATAAGTTGTCTTCTTAGTATGTGAGGCAGCGTGAATCTAAGTACAAGCTGTGTCAATTTGATTATAAAACAGGAGCTGGTGATAAGACCTGTCATTCATTCACTTTAGTGATCTAAGGGAATTTACAGCTGCCATTGTAGACATTTCCAATTAAGTATCCCAGGAAATTAAAAACTGATTGTGTCCACAAGGAGTAATGTCATGTTCTGGAGCTAGGATTATACTGAATTTTTCAATCTACTCAGTGTTGGAGGTACAGCAGTTACTTTCCTCCCCCTACCCAGTAAAACAAGTCCTGATGATTAACACAAAAATTTAAAAAAAACCAAAAAACCAAAAAACCCTCCATATAAAGGACAACTGAGTGACCTTTTGTGTTCACTGTCAGTAATTTTAAGTAGGGAAGGATGAGTTGATGAATTACTTGCTATCTTAACTACATAGAGATATGGCTCATTTCACAACCAACTTTAGACACAGAGCCTGAAATATTACAAGCACTAACTCAAACTGTAGGAGGTTG